TATTATGAGCCAAAAGTCTTGACTTTGATTCTCACCAAAAACATCAACGATATACAATAGTACTTGCAGAATCGTTATTTGTATCTCTGTAGATAATATTCTCTATATATAACTGTAACTCTCTTTACTGGTTTGGAAAGTGTAGACAACAACATTTATAGGAAGAACAAGATCAAGTTTATGATTCAACTCGATCTCGATACTATTATTCCATGAAGAAGGATATCACTCCTCATCATACTCGACGAATGGTTTTAGATTCAAACTAATCAATCTTATGTCAATCAACAACTTGACCGGAAAAAAGTTGCTTGTATTTATTTCATTGCAAAAATCATTGAGGTCTTAGTATGAACTGTTAGAAATGATTATAAAAGCAGAATTTACTATCTAATTTGCACATTTGACGACAACAATAACAGCAACTCTTACAAGAGATAGGACAACACTTCTCACTACAGCATTATTCTCGAAGAGTAATAGACATACTATCCCTTCTATAGTTCGTCATTTATTTAGAATTGTGATTGGTGTTTTACGACCACTCTTTTTCTGTATATTAAAAACTCAATACATTCCTCAATTGTGGAACGGATATATTTTTCTATCTAATCAACAAGACTAGAGATAATAGGTATATGAGCTAGTGTCCAGGAATCAGTTTAAATTCAACTGATTTTAAAAGATCATAGTTTCGGCTATGTTGAACCGAGTTTAAACTGTATTGAGAGGAGAAATAAGCGAGTGTGCAAAATAAACTGATTATCAGCTATCAAGAAAGAGAATAAGCCAATTGCTTTGCTTGAGAGAATCAGATCAATGTCGTTGAATTGAGAATAGTTTATGGTTTCTTTAAGCACCTTTCATTCTCTTGTTCACTACGCCTTATCTATAGAATCACACGAGTTGGTCATAAAGAGAGTACCTTTGGTATTTATCATATCAGTTATGCCTAGTTACAAGCTCAATTTGGAGTTGTCCAGAGAGGGACTTCAATCTATCTTGGCCACTTTTGTATTGAACTCGGTGTCAAATAGAATAACTTGACCTTGTTCATTTGAATTCATATTCTTGTTATGAATACTGTATTTGAAGAGTACCTATTATATGCTATTTGAATTTACTCTTAACTTTTTTTTTCACTGTTTATTATACAGCTCATCCTGTAACTTGGTTTCATAAAATCCTTGTATCTTTCAGACTATCAAGATTTATGGTTATGACTTATATAGTTTTGATAGAATTCACTTGACTCCAATCTGTTCATCAAAGATTGATTTGATAGTGGGACATGCATAATGTCGCAGTTAACTACAGAATCATAGGCCTATGAGACAATTCAACTGAATTGAAAGGAACTGTATGCTCGGCAACTTTAGAGATCATTCCTATTTTAAATAGAAGAACGCGAACATTCGGTTTTATGTTGTTTGAAAGATTTGAATCGACATAGCGATTTGAGAAAACTGAAGAAGAAGTACTTTGATCCTAACCTTTGATTGTTAGTACTTCAAGTCATGCTGAGACATATGGTTATGTCCGTTTACTTTTTTTGGTGAAAAAAGTTGTCTCTTATCTTTGTTATATTAAGCTATTACAAAATCAAGTTGATAACCTGGTACAGCTTTTACTAGTACAGGATGCCTTTCACAACAGACTCTTTGTTATCTTTATGGATGAAGAATTGAGTTTGGCTTCTGTTGATTCATTGATTGACTGCTTTGTGTCATACTAGCACATTTACTTATCAATTGACAAATAGTCGCACTTGAATTTGTAAAATTGACTGATTCCAGCGTCTGAGGATAGTAGTAGGACAACCCTATTTAAAAAGGTGCTTTAAGAATTCACTTTAGACAGATTGTTGATTTGCGAGTCAAAGACAAGTTGTACCAAAGAAAAAGATATATACAAGGTAAGTGATATAAATAGGAGTAGTTTCACTGTGCATTTTTAAGATAAATACGGACTGGATTGGATAGTGCTAACAGAATGAAATAGGTTGTTTGAAACACACTGGGTTGTCCGTCTATTATGAGTCTTTTAACTCATCAAGATCTTTTATCGTGACACTCGAAACCTCTCTGTCCCATAAGAAGAGTCGTTATACCCTAGACTTTGGTTCACATAGTATTCATATATGCTCAATAGTCTATTTAATACCGATTGCTTCACGACTGTATGGAATTATTGGAAGAATTTACCCAAGTAGACTTGGCAGACGAAATACCAACGAGTACTAGTATTCTTTCATCTAAATACACAGAGGACAATCTAGTTGATAGATTGCTTGACAAGAATCATAACGAGAGAAAATCCCCAAATTCCCTCCTCATAGTTGCAAATCACTTTCAAATTCTAAACAGATCGTTGACCGAAAGTCGTTTGAATCCATTGTTTCTACAATTGACCCAATGTTGAATCATATTGGTATACTGTAAAATGAAGATTTTGTTGTTTCCATTGGGCGTGATACTGCATAGTATGTTGAGCACCAATATACACACTTTTTAGTGATTTTTTCTGCTAATGGGAAAGATGGGCAATTTGAAAAGAGTGGCCAATTGGGAATGGGCCCTCGCAATTTTGATTTGAAAATTGTCATTCTGGGTGTGGGGCGGAGAAAGAATGGGTAAATTGGAAATGGGAGAGAGAGTGGGGAAATTGCGATGGGGGAAAATGAGTGGGGAAATGGGTGTGAGGAAATTGGAGAAGAGGGGCCAACCCAAAGGCGATTGTGTTGATTTGAAAATTGCCATTGTGGTGGGCGGGGCTGGGGAAGAATGGGCCCATTTGGAGATGGGAGGGGAAATTGCGATGGGGAAAATGGATGGGGAAAGGGGCCAATTTGGGCCAACCACAAAGGTGATCGTGATTTGAAAATTGCCATTATGGCGGGCTGGGAAAGAATGGGAAATTGGAAATGGGAAAGATTGGGTAAATTAGAAATGGGGGCATTTGAAATTGAGGACAGTGTGCAAAGAGGACTGAGTGTGAATTGAAAATTTTGGGAGAGTCCGTATAGGAAGGGTGTTTGAAAAATTCCAATTCGAAAAGCAAAAAAGATTGAAATTTCAACTTCAGTTATATTTTATGAGATAGTAGTAGTAGAAAGTTTAATTACACGCTGTCACATAATGTTTCCATGCTTTCATAATACATTTTTACTCTAAAATAATCTTCTTATTAAATTTCTAAAGAAACTATAATAACAATTTAATATAATTGATTGAAACATTGAAAACATTATTAAAAAATTTAATCATTGACTTAATTTTCAACTGTTACAATTAAATGTTCAAAGTAAATATTATATAAACACATAAAACTCAACAAAACAAAAAAAGAATTAATTTTGAAGACTATATTTGTTAATTCTCCACTAAATTGACAAAAATAAATAATTTTTAGTTTAGTTTGACAATATTTACTAAAATTATACACAATAAAAATAATGATAATAAGTAAAATTTTAAAGCTGCCTTGACACGCTATACTACAGACGCGCCATAAACGCAAGGATTATTTTTGTTAAAAGTTAATAACAAAAAAAAGTGAAAACTAACCAATAAAAAAAGAGAACATAGTCGTCGAAAGTATAGAAAGAAAGATTTTTATTCAAAGAAATACACATATCTAAAGTGATTAAGTAAAATGGTGCAAAAAAATAATGAACGAACTTAAAAAAGACAATGAATTGCATTTGGTAAATTGCCATTTGATGAGAGAATATGTGTGGGTGAGTGAAATGGTCGATTGCGGGTAAAGGATGGTAGTGCAACTTTGAAAATTGTCTTGGAGTGTGGGGATGGGGGGAAAGAAGGGGCCAATTGGAAGTGGAAGAGGGTTGGGGGTCAATTGTGAATTGGAAATTGGCATGGGGGAAAATGAGTGGGGGGAAGGATTGGGCAAATTGCGAAGAGAGAGGGCAACTCGAAATGTGGATGGGCAATTGTGATTTGAAAAATGTGCATGGGGGAAAATGAGTGGGAGGGGAGGAAGGATTGGGGCCAAATTGGAGAGGGGTCAATTCGAAATGTGGATGGGCCATTGTGATTTGGAAAATGTGCATGGTGGAAAATCAGTGGGAGGAAGAATGGGCAAATTTGAGAGGGGTCAATTCGAAGAAC